TTTCTACAGTAATTTAGCTATATTTTGTACAGAAATGCATTTTAACAACTGTAAAATCAGGCTCAGCTCTGCACTAACAGCATGCACAACAGCTGGAAACAGCTTGAAGATGCCTCTGGAAGATACATAATGGCTCATCCAATTTAAATCCAGTGAAGTTCGATGATAACCAAATGTTTGGTCTTGAACAACAGGATATAATGGCATCTAAGTTACCTTTACGAATTACTGAGCTCCAGGCAGATCAGCATCACTGTAATTGTGCTCCTTCTTAGCAAATAATAAAATGAAGCATTCCTATCACTAATCACATCAGTGTGATTGTGCAAATTAAATATGCAAAACATATAGAATAATTACTGGATAAAAACAAGCTTTTAAATGTATTGCACACAAAACACATACAGTAATTACTAGGTAAAAAAAACTTTTTAAACATATTTATCTATTTACAATCATTGTGTTTGTTCATCCTGAAAAGGAGTCCAGTCTAACTACCTGTTTGTATTACACGAGCTGATCAAAAACCAGTGACAGGCAATAACTCAGAATTCCTTCCTTAAAATCGATGGGTCAGGAGTGCAAGTTTTATGTCAACTGCCTAATGACAGCCATGTTCAGAGAGCCAAGGAGAGAGACAAATATTTACTTTCTGTAAACTACTGCTGAGCGTGTTATTTAGGGCAAGAAAGTGCTGTTCAGCTTGGCTAATAATGAAACCCAGATGTAAATAAGAAACTTGTAAAACATTTTTTAGAGAACATAAGCATACTATAAAGTGCAGAACCACATACATTTAAGCAATTCATTTTCTAGCTAAGTAAAAAAAAAAAAAAAAAAAAAAAAAAAGGCATGCATCGGCTTTGAGTTTGAGTGCCAAGAACCAAGTAACAGTAATAACTGCCTAGATAGTCTGTCACCTGTAAGGTTAAATACAACTTCTTTAAAAGGCTAGACCAAATGTCTTGGAGGACTGAAAGCAGCCATGAGTAGTCAAAGTCAGTCAGAACACATTATCAGGGGTTCCAAAAGGCCAAGTATTTAACCACAAAGCTAATATGAAATAGAATAAAACAGACTGAATTTTTATGTGCAGATAAATATATACCTAACTGGCATTTGAACAAAGAAGACATGGTGAGATAAGTTATTAACATGTCAACATATCTTTAAAAAAAACACCACAAACTAAAGCAGAAAAGGATATTACATTTGCAAAATTTTCGTGAACGTGAGAAAAAAGATCAAAAGCTCTATATATTTCCAAAACCACTGTATTTGAAGGAAAAGAAAGGAAAGGAGGGAAGCATTTTATTTCTTGTCATTTTGTGCACATGCTAGTTGTAGTGAAAGGGACCAGAATCTTCCCCCCAAAGCTAGTCAAAATTCAAAATTCTAGCTCACAGGAATTGCTAAGATGAAAAAAGCTCCTGCTCATTTTCACGCCAAAACTGCAAATATTTTTTAGAGCTTTGATGACATAATGACCAACCCACCTAAATTTTCAGGAAATAAAACAGTATTTTAAAATTAGGTATCAGAAAGGTTCAATTTTGCTTATGTTCTGTCTCATCTGTTTTAACAAAACAGATGTCATTTGAATTAAGAAGGTTTTTCAGTTGGCACTGTGAATTAGTCACTCAGTTTTAGATATAAGGCCCTAAATATTCTCTCTTATTGTTTGTCTTATTTTAAAATGCAAGCAGCAGTCAAATGTGATGGGGCTTACAAATGACTGCACCACTTCTACTGAAACAAAAATCTCTACATAATAAAAAATTGAAAAAAAATCTAAAATAAAAACCCTGAAACTGTCAAACAATTTCAAAAATTGCCTACTGAACTTTTTTGTCTTACACTTTCCTTCCTTTTTTCAATTTCTTTCTCCTAGGAATTGGTCAAAAAGTACTTAATTTTCTTAAGAAGGAGGAGGCTTGGTCAAAAGCCTATGCTCAATAGGAAATTGATCAAAATTTTTCAGTCTTCCTAATGTCTCACAAATGCATGGCAAAACTGCAGCCTTCCAACAGCAAGAGAGAGTCATTGCCACCTAATCACACACCAGTAAGCAGATCCACCGGACCTCACCGAAGAGACTATCTGACAGATGGAGGCCAAGATATCAAATTTCCTCTAAAAATCTCTTATTTTTATTGCTTTGTCTTCATATTAGTAGAAAATAAACTATTCCTTTGTTAGTCCTTGCTAGATAGATAGCAATAACTTAATCCAGGAGGTTACTTTATAACATCATTTAACCAGCTCAAGAACCTCTCAAGTTTGTTTTTCTCTTGCATATACTCTAGCTGTATGGCAAAAGGGACCTACACCATTCATCAAAAACACTTTTATTCATTCCTGGTTCCTCTTAAACAAAATGGATCTTAGAGTTATAAATAACCATCCACTTTAGTAAGGGCAGCAGAATAAGAAAACATATCTGCTGGAAAAAATGCAATATAAAACAGAGTTTAAACACTTAATTCTACAAGGTAATTTTAAGGTGTGAAGATTTCATTTTTCTTTCTGTTCTTTTTTTTTTCTTTTTCCTTTTTTTTAAACATGGAGTAGAGGGGACATGTATTTAAACAGAACATGAATAATTCATTACTAAGAAATAAGGTTGAATGGATCAGCTTGCAACATGTTTCTTAACCCAGAACTAGTATGTGACTTTCAGCTACAGATGCTTATGGTGAGAGAGGTCAAGCACGGAAAGAGCACAGCAGTATTCAGTGGGCTGTAGTATCCTGGAAAGCAGTTGCCTTAAAGGAGATAGTGACAAAAAGAGATTTTGGTTCAGGAATTAGTTTAACAGCGAAAGGCCTGAAAACCAGACATTCAGTTAATCTCCCTGTTACCACATATGAAATTCTACCCTAAAATCTAATTTATTTCTGTGCATTCTATTACTATAGGGTGAGGAAAAAACAGAACTTATTTGTGCAGTGTCTGGACTACAAGATTTGAAGAATATGCCTCATCACTATTCAGTAGTTACAAGAAGTATTATGTTCTTCATATATCTGCAGTGCCAGAGAGGAGGATTCTTATTCCTATTTCTAGCCTTGAACACATCATTGTATGATTTCGGGAAAAGGAAACTTTTAGATGAAGCACGAGGAAAATATTGCTTGTACTATAGCCCTGTTTTAAGGAACAGAAAGCATGAGCTCCCTATTCTGTGAGGCAGTTTAAAATTGGACTAACACAATTCTAGTAAACATTTTGAAAGAGGGACTTTCTCATCAACAGAAAAATGGTTATACCTGCTCAGATCAAAGACCCTATCAGGCTTTTGCCTCTGTTGGTGGCAGCAGCAAATGCCTAGGGAAGTATATCAGGCCAGGACAAACATGCAGTAACACTTTCCCAGAACAACCTCCAAGCCTCCAGCAGCCTAAGGAGACCTGCAAAATCCCACATGTAATGGACTGAGGTTAGGAGTCCTGCCAGCATTAACAAGATGCTGCATAGGAAGAAGCTGTCCCATATTGAAGGGAGAGATTATTTTTCCCACTGCTGACTTCTGAGGTGACTTTCAGCCTATTTAAGGGATCCAGGCTCCAGGTAATAGAAACTGGCATAGACTCATCAAAAAGAATTTGTGTGGCAAATGAATATATATTTTTTGTTTATCCTTGTGCCTACAGCAGTTGAAAAGTTGATGCTTATTAATTTTGACATACCAAAAATTTAGTTCTACTGTCCAGTCCACATCATTCATCAGCTAGAAAAAAAATGTTTTCACCTGATAAAACAAATGCATCTCCATGGTGTATGCAAGGTGTTGTCTTTCTGTCACTATTCAGACATTCATATAGTATTTCCTTCTTTCTCGTAATGCAAAAAAAAATCCCAAACCTAAACAAAACTCATTTTTACCTGGTGCAACAAATGCATTTTCCTGGTATATGCTATATATTGCCTTCTGTTTCCAGTTTCTTCTTTAATTAACTAACTATAATACAGTAGTACCTATTTGTCATCTGCACTTTCGTCTTTTATTGGAAATTGCTAATCTGTGTTTTTTTTCTCCTGCTGGAATAACTAGTCAGAACTTTGGCTATTAGGTTTGCATTCTATTCTGTGCCAGTATCAGTTGGAAGGGGGAAAATGTCTGAATAATGTTGAAGTCTTCATATCCAATATCTCTTTTCCTACTGAATACATTTCTAATTCTAATATCACTGTAGTTGTCCAGGGGTCATTTTACATAACAAATCACGGTCCGTTTTTGTCTGTGGTAGGGATAAACTCTTTCTAACATCAGTATCATTGCCATACTGGAAAACTAGTATTTGAAGTATTTTCACTTTGCTCAGAGTTGCATGTAAACTTTTAAATCAGTGTTGTATCTCTTATATGAAATTTGAGGCTATGCCTTCTGTAGATACAGAGAGATTTGGCTTTGTTACAAGAGCATACATTCAGTAATTACAGTAAGACCTCTCACTGAAAGTCATAAAGGCTCTACCATAAAGCCAGACATTTAATTTAACTCAAGAGATCTGAAAATGACAATTTGCTCAGATACTTTTCAGGAGAAACCTTTCAGGAGAAACACAGAGAAAGCATCACATCTCTTTTTTTCTCTAGCCCACAACACATGGCACATTCCTGATACTGCCAACAAGACAGGCTTTTTTTTTTTTTTTTTGTGAAATGCTTTTTTGCAACCTCCCTCTGAATCTCTACTTCCCAGAGCAATCAGTGTTTTCCCTTTCTGTGAAGTGCTTTATGTTGCTTATTATGCTCTGAAACAACCCAGAGAGCAGATAGGCAGATCTGCCTTACATCTGGGGACCAACATATTTGCTTCCTTTTTCTTTGCAGAAGCAATAGTAATTTAAGGTAACTTGCAGCAACTTCCCTAAATGAAACAAACAACAGCAAACAGCAGAGGCAATGAAATGCAGAGTCTCCTTCCATATTAGGAAATCTTATTTTTAAACAAATTCTTATTCTAATTTTATAAAAGTTATTTGGAGAAGTCTTACCTTCTATGATCTGAGCAGCTGAACCAGCATGGATTGACAAGCCTAAGAGCAGCAGTAGCAAGTCCCAGGTCCACCAGGCATGCCTGGAGCAGGTGTACCAAAAAGTAGGGAAGGGAGGGAAGGAAAGAAAACAGAATGAGACCAAAGAGTGTAATGAAGAAGCACAAGGGGGGAAGGAAAAGGAAGGAGAAAATCCAGAAGTGAGAGTTCTTACCATGGGAGCATTTTTTGAAAGTTAGTAGAAAGACTTTGAGTGGGGAAGAAGTTCGGTGAACATGAGTTATATGCTTATGAAAGTCAGAAGTTAATAAAAACGGGAGCCTGCTGCTTCTCGTCCAGCGCCCGGACACAAGTGGAACAAAGGCAGCTCTCAGGCTCCCTTTCCGTGACTCACTCACTGCACTTCGCTGCTGCAGCGCTGAAACCCGACCCCGCAGAGACTTGCCTGTCAGACCACTGCATAAAACTTCCTCCTTATTTTTCGAGGGACAGCCCTTGCTGCCATACATCATCCCAGCGCTGTCATTTTCTGGTCGTGCCCAAACTTCGTGCCCTGATACATCGCAGCTGAGCTGCTCCGGCTCCCCCTGCTCCCCCACTTTCCCCTCAGCGCCTCCAGTCACTTCCTCACGCAATAGAGCACAACCTCCAGCACCTTCTCATCCAGCATCATATAGCCAGTACTATGCGTTTTTGTATGGAATGGGACCTATCTCTGGTCATTTTAACCAGACTTTAACATGAATAAGTTTTTAGGACCTAAGTTGTATAGGGCAGTGACAGCAAAATACAGAATGTATTAACTTACAGTTCTTTTGTTACCTATGGAGATGTTTCTAAGCCTATGCTTTTTAGGACAATTTTCCTAAGTCTATACGTAAATAAGAAACTCTCTAGAAAGATCTACATCCCGAATGTAACTTGAGGGTATGTATCTGACTCAGTGACTATACATACATGTGTCTGCTATAGAGGTCTTGTAGCTAAGCATTTCTAATAATTTCCATTGGAAGTGTTAAGACCTCCTTCCTAACTCCATGAAAAGTATTTAAAAAAAAAAAAAAAAGCAGATCCTAATAGCCATTTTCAACTCTAGTAAAAAGTTCTGAAAGAATAACCTTGAGATTGAATAAACAATTTTAATCATAAAACAAGCAAAACAAAACACTTTTCAGTGATGCAGAGGTAGCCTAAATATGGATTTACCAAACTGCATGTAGAAAAGCACCAATAGTTTTTTGATGTATTTGGCTGGAAGGTGATGAACCTGGCTTAAGGATATTCAAAATAAAAATAAAAATAAATAAATATAAAAAACTGAGTTACTTAGAATGGCAGGGAACCAAGACAGTAATGAAAGGAAAAATCCTAGTAATCAGCAGAAGTAGGAACTTCATTCTACAGTAACTACGATGCTTGAGTTTGAGGATTAACTTTTTTGTTTGCTTGTTTTCTTAATGGGGACCCAGGACCCCACTCATCCTGTTCTGTAATACTATACCAGAACTGAGAAAAAGGCTTCTTCATTCACCTTCTCCATACAGGGCTGTCAGCTCTTTCTTTTCTCTCTTCCTAAAGTTTCTGTCTTTAGTTGCCTGCAAGCAGTACTGCTTGTTAGGAAGAGTGTGTGTAAAGTTTATGCAAACCATATACCATAATTATTTATTTTATTCCTTTATCTAGGACACCAGATATCTGTTATGCCATGAGAAAGACAATGTCTTTTAAAAGAACTTGTAAAATACATATACTTATAAGCCAGGATCAATTTTCCAGTTCTTTCAGATAGCATTTAGCAACAGCCATACCTAGAAAAAGGCATTATTAGTCATGACAAAAAAAAATTTAACACTTCTACTGTTTATAATTGGACACATTTTTACTCTGAATTTAGAAAACCTCTAGATAAAAGGAAGTAACATCTCTCCTTTCCCCATAGCAACTACACTGCTCATTCACATGAACCAGATGAAATGCTATTGAGAAAGTTGTTAGTTTCTGCTGGATATTTTTAAGGTGGATGTCTGGCCAATCTTGAATATTTTTAGAGCATTTGGATAGAGGAAAAGCAAAGCAAAGCATATTCTTGACCTCTGCATTCCATTAGACTTAAGTGGATGGCAGTGGAGAAATCTCTAAATATAAACAGTTTATTAGTCCCACTTCTGTATAGTGCCTTGAGATGTCTCAAATTTCTAGAGTTCATTTGCATTCTTAATACTCAGAGCATATTAACAATCTCTCTATGTCTCCTAACTGTAACTTGCTCCCCACAAGGGCAGTGACATTTGTACACATCCACTCGGTTTTAACCTTACTGCGCTTCATCTATTTTAAACACAGCAGGACTCATTTGAACAAGGACATAAGTGCTTTCCTTCAGTACTGTCTCCAGCTGTCTTCATCTCAGCTTTGAGTTTTACTGCTAGTTAAAAATATCCGTTTTCCAGGGAGTAGGTTTGTTTACTCTTCTCAGCCCTGATTGTTTTCTGTAACATTTGAAACAGCAGCATACATTGCTGCTATTGCAGTTCTTACTCATTCACTGAGTTAGTACAGCTGTGTGCTCTTCTGTTTTGGGTCATATGTATTAAACAGTGTTTTCCTCCTGACCTTGCAACACAAATTTCTTAGCTGCACACTTCTGGCCCATATAGCAACATCATAAGAATACCCTTGTGCAAGCTCAGTCTCAAAGAAGTAATATACACCAAGATCTGGCTGAGTTAGAAGAGAACAAAAAAAGAAGAAAAAAAAAAAAAAGTTGCCTAGACTTCTCTTGAGCAGGCTTAAATATTTGGTACTGACAGTATCTTGCAGCAAGGAATTCCACAGCTCAATTATGGTTTCCTCAATGCTCTCCATGCTTTTATAGGTCTCTTTCACTTGTTTTAACTTCTGTTATTGTACATCCCTTCTTTTCTTTGAGGGAGAAGAAAAGCTGGTACAAAGGCATGCATGCATGATGCAAATAATCACAACATTATATAGTGATATAACAGTGTTCTCTGTATTTTTCCTGATAACAATTGATGCACTTTCTTGACCATGAATGATGTGACGTCTTCATGGAATAAGCCCAGTGATTTCCTCCTGAGTGGTAATTTTATATATAGTTAGGATTTCTCCTCTCTCTCTCAATGTGTAAATATATTTATGATAAATGTTAGAATTGAATTTCCTCTATCATTTTGTCTGCCAATCATTCACTGTTGAAGGATCCCTTTGCAATTCTTTAGTCTGTCCTTGTCTTTATTAAAAAGAAAAAAAAATCATAGTATCATCAGACGTGGTCTTACCACTTTGGTTTTGAATATCATTGTATAGCTGCTGCTAAACAATTACTTTCACAGTGTTTGATAATATGCTTTCGTGATTATAAGATATGTTTCACTACTCTGCACTTACTGCTCTTCCTCCTTTAAACAAGGTACCTTTCAAGAAACTTTTAAGAAGTGTGTAAATGCTGTTTCAATGCATCCTTATAAAGAAATAAGAGGGTGCATTTAATTTGATAATTAAAATTAGGCCTGTACTATACCCTACAGGAAGGTATAAATTAAGGTCACAGGGGCCAAATATTTTGGCATTTCCTATCTTGTTTAGTGTTTCATTTCATGTAATTTGAATGTTTCTGCCTCCTCTACCCGTCACTCTCAGTATTACAAAGCGCACTGGAAAGAAAATGGAAACCACATGGCTAGGGCTGGCTAGCAAAAGGGAAGCAAAGTGCAATCAAAGACATGAGGTTTGTGATGGAAAGCCATCCGGTAGTCTTTGGAAAGGAAGAGACGAGGTCTGCTGGGCACAGACCTGGTTATGAGGGGAACCAAACTGGTGCAGAGGTTAGATGAGAATCACTTTGAAAGAGGTACAAAAGAGAGAATAAGATTGACTGGGTGAAGAGTGTAGGACAGAAGGTTTGGAGGAGATGAGGGCAAAGGTAAGAACAACAGGACTAAAAGACAGAAAGCAGAGGAAGGATAGACAAGCCTGGAAATAGGACCTGTCCCATTTTCCAACCTGAAAATGGGACCAGGTGGCAAGGGAAAGTAGGATAAATATTTAGACTTGGGGAGAGGGAGCTACGTATTTCTCCTCTACAAACCCTAATTCAATCAGGTGAAAACACTGCCTCAAATTAGAAGGCTGTGGAAAGGAAGTGAAAGAGGCAGGGAGAACTGGACTAGATACTAAAAGGGAGGTGGCAAAAAAGACAATCTCAGTGAGAAAGCAGGAGAGCATGCATCATCTGCTAAAATATTTATATTTTTGCTTCTCTTCCTCCAGCCAAATCTTCAAGTAGAATCCAAAATTCCTGCATCTGTCATGCTTTTGCTACAAACAAGCATCTGCAGAACCCACTAGCAAGGCATGTCTCACTCACAGTGCCATATCCTAATAGTTCAAGTGGTATACACTAAGAATCAAAATGTTTCAGTTCTTCTGAATGCCCACATGAGGGTCAGTATCCTAAATCCTAAATTTTGGTTCTAAAACATGACAGTAGAACTGTTAAACAATTCTTTAACAGTTTGTAACAAGGTCACAAAAACTACCATTTCCAGAAATGGCTGAACTCTTCCTCAGGTTTATAGTAGTGGTATGGACATTATAATCTAGACACAAAGACAGAATGCAAAATGTGTTTAGCAGTTGAACAAGCAATTGAAGTTGTACAATACAGCCTGTGAGACATTAGAAACAAGCAGAAACTGATGTTTGGCCTGTAATTTAAACTCAGTCACATGTCAACATTGATCCTATTGCTATATTAAATTAATTTATCATTAGCAGAGTACATATATTTTTAAATATGCCTTAAAAATATCTGCCTTAGTTATATTAAGGATATGCATTGGACTGAAAGGCTCTATTCAGACTAAATGTCAAACATTCCTTTCCTATGAATAAACCCACCAAGAATTATATGCAGTCGTTTTGCTGTCTGTCTTCATGTACAGCTGAGGTGAAGAACCATTTTTCCCTCCATGGACACAGGATCAACCCAAGGGTCTAGGAAGAAAACCAAGTTTCACCAGAATGCCCATGCAAATTAGTTTTAATCAAGTATTTTCAATTCCTTTTTAAAATGCTTATAGAGCCTGGCCCACAGAGTAACCACACTGACTACTTCGTGCACTGCCTTAAGATAAGCCTGTGAGGAGTATGATCCTTTAGAGAGGGACAAACCTCCTGTGCCACTGGTTTATATATTAAGCTGAGCTGTCTACTAGTAGAGATAGAAGAACAGCAGTTTTCTGCCTCAAGAATGTTAACAGCAACAGCTCTCACTCACTGTCAGTTATGGTCAATGAAAGAACATCAGTCAAGCAAGGCCACAGTGTATGATGACCTCAATATGATGATTATATTTGCTAGCAGTCTGAACG